AATATCCACAAGTGTTTCGGATTATCAGTGATTAATTAAGTGATCAGTGTTTGGTGACAGTGCAGTGAAAGACCAGCTGTACGCTGTACGAGGTCAGTGCCCTTCGACATCATGAATTTCAGCCAGCAAATGCATCCTCAACTAAATGGGTGAGTTTCTTACTGATAATATTTTTCATATCTCTCTAATAAACAAATCCTTTACGTCCCTTATTTATTATTAAGTCAGCTTTGCAAATCATTCGTTAATCTTCACTGTACACCTTGCGTAAAAATGTCATATTTTATACACGAGGTGTTATGCACACCAGAAAATTAAAACGGCCTTTACGGTTAAATTTCTTATTATTACGGATTCGAAAAATTAGTAAATATTCTTCGGACATTTTGAAATAAGGATAAATAGCGTTTTTCTTAAAATTCGGAAGTTCACGCACCATAACTTGTTCATTGATTCGAACGCAGCACGGAGCCTCCCATCTTCTATCGCGCTCCACGGTCGAAGCACGTTTCACTCGATCGATCGACCATGTTGTCATTCGCGCCTTCATCTCTTTTTCGTTAATAACTCGTAAACAAAGCCGCGGATTGCATTTTCGCCAAGGAAAAAGTTATGAAAATGACCTCAGCCACCCCTCATTTTCGGCTGTTAAAATAATTGTGGAACACCCTGTAGAGTATTAAATACATTTAGTTAAATACTAATTCGAATATTTATTATTGTACTGTAATTACTTATAATAATTACTTATAATTATTATATATTATTCACTAGACACCACTGCACTATGCAGTCCTACAAAATCAACCAGATATCATGAGAGCATTACTCAAGCTCGGTGCTGATCCAAACCGATCGGATGAACACGGATGTTGTCCATTACACATGGCTGTGAGAAGTAAGGTACAAGGTAAATTAAAAATGTAATATATTTATGAAAGTGTACATATTATAGATCCTCAAGCTGCTGCCTGTGTTAGAACTTTGTTATCGGATAAAAAAACTAAAATGGAAATTCATGACGATGCCGGATGGGCACCATTACACCTCGCAGCTGAAGCTGGCTCATTTAATGCGGTACGTTTACTTGTTGAAGCTGGGACAAACGTAAATAGTACCGATATGTCATATGGTCGAACTGCATTACATATTGCTGTAGATGGTGGACACAAAGAAATTGTGGAATATTTATTGAGTGAGGTATAACTGTCTCTCACATTTTGACTAAAATGAATCATATAATTCTATTAAACTTTGTAATTAATATTAAATATATTGCATTACTACAGACAAATATTGCCATAAACAAAAGAAACTTTAGCGGAAATACTGCCTTACACTCAGCAGTTGTATATTCTGGTACACGAGCAAAGGAACTATGCGCGTTGTTAATCAAATACGGAGCAGATCCATACATTGAAAATCATAATAAAGAATCAAGCGATGTACGTACCTCTTTCAATTACAATATATTCAATGATTGTAATTATGTAATATTTTATTCAATATATTTATCAGGTTGAAAAGAGGAGTACACATGTAAAAGAAGAAATAAATTCTGATAATGAAAACACTGAAGAAATGAATGGACAATCGTCTTTTGATTTAGCGATGAATAAACCAGATGTAAATTACTAATTTTTCTACATCACATATGCTATTTTAAACTATTTTAAATTAATTAATGTTTTTTTTTTATAGATTTTGCAGCTTCTTAATGGTCAGGCTGAAGAATCATCGAATAAAATGTCTTCAGTTTCCACAAAACTGGAAGTGGAAGACGAGGATTTGCAGAAAGAATGGTTAAATAATGAACAAAAACAAGAATTGTCCAATATTCTTGATAAAACACAAGGATGGAGACAACTTGCGAAACATTTGAAATTTGAATACATGTTAAGAACACTGCAACAAAGTTCGTTGAGCCCAACTCAACTTTTATTAAATTACATAGACGTATGTTATAAATTTATTTATTACAGTATTATACTGTTTATAAGGTTTTCATAGTGATATGTCTCTTTTAGATTCAATCATCTATATCCCTAAATGATCTGCAAACTGCGTTGAAAGATATTGGGGAAACCCAAGCAGCAAATTACGTAAATAAAATATTAATTGTACGTTCGTGAAATACATCATTCAACAATTATATTGTAGTCAAATTAATCTATACTATTCGTTACACATATGACAATTTTATATAGATATAAATATGACCTGTAGCTCTTAAGTTTTTACAAAATTTGTTGTAAATGTATATACTCTGTATAAACAATTAATTTTCTAATAGAAGAAATTTATGGTAATTTTTCTTTTTAAAAATGCGGCATTTTTTTACTCAAATTAAACCAATTTTTAGTTCATTTTCACTGCAATGTATGATTTATGTACATAAACAAAAACGAATAAATAAATAAACTGAATGAATTTATATGTACATATGTACATATAGAAGACCGTAGAAAGAATTTTATAGCACGTACACGTAGGGAAACAGCTGCTTCTTATAGTGCAGTTGCACCAAGTTGTACATTATTGGTAACATACCTCACCTTTCTGCGAAAAAACTCTTTTGCAGTAATATCATGATTATTACATATTACGTGTTTTTCAACCTTTTGTATTAATCTAAGTTGAATATCGTATCAAAAGTGAATATTGAAATGAATCACATATTCACGGGAGGCGGACCGTTGTTGTTCGTAATTTCATGAAGATTAACGTATTGTATCAATATATGTATATACATATACGTAATAGTATTACAGATACAGTATTGTTTTTGAAGAAGTTCGTTTAATTTTACGTAGAAAATGGATAAGCTAAGGAGAGCATTAAGTGGCAATGAGCAGTGCGATGAAGAAAGTGGTATTATTGGTCAGGTAATTAATATTATTTTTTAATGATACACGCATTATATACTTGTATGTGAATATTTTTATTTTTTGCTATTGTATAAAATATTGTGTTCAATGCTTGCAATTGTTAATGGAAGGTTGATGCGGACTTTACGGTAAGAATGTGTGTTTAACAAAAAATAATAAATATCAATTTTTTATATTCCTTAATAATAATATTCTCCATCAATAGTAACTTATTGTTAACTAATTGACATTTTATTTTTAGGTTATGGACCATACTACGTTGAGTTGGTCTACCCGAATTAAAGGTTTTGCTATTTGTTTTATTATTGGTATATTGTGCTCCATCCTTGGATCGTTTGCTTTATTTTTACATAGGGGATTGACAGTATTTGCTGTATTTTATACACTAGGAAACATTATCTCATTAACAAGGTGAAATTTCATAAAATTGACAAAAATGTTTATCTTGTAAATATTTACATATTTAAATATATACATATACACTTTCCCTTTAGAAGTATCTATATAGGTAGCGTAGCGTTTCATTGGATTTATTAAAGAAGGGATTCTAAAAATTCATTCAAATATTTTGTAAACAGTACAAACTAATCGTTAATTCCATTTACAGTACATGTTTTTTAATGGGACCATGTAATCAATTAAAGAAGATGTTTGCTGCAACAAGAGTGGTTGCAACAGTTTTAGTATTTGTTGCTCTTGGAATGACACTCTTTGCGGCTTTACATGTAAGTATAACAAAAAAACAATTTGGTAAACTGTTTACTATAATTTACAAATTACAATTATTGTTTGAATTTTTAGCTGAAAAATGCTGGATTGGCTCTTCTATTCATAATTATCCAATCGTTGGCAATGACATGGTATTCTCTATCTTATATACCTTATGCGCGTGATGCTGTCAGAAAAACTGTGGAATCTTGTATAACATGAAGAAAAATCTGGAAATCGTGCAGTAAAATTCTTTACTTAAAACAGTTTATGTAGCACAAGTTATGAACTGAGCTACAAAAGTAACTTAAGAATACAAATCATAATATTAACAAACTCTATACATGTAACACAAGTATGCATTTATTTTGTAAATGCGCTTAACATTTATTTGTACTTGAACGACAATACAATGAAAATGTTGAATGTAGGTTTTATATTGTAATATTTTGTAATAATTCTGTAACTCTATGAAGTTATACGGTTTATATAAGATTTATAATGTTCCGATAATACCATTTCTTTTATAATGCTTGTTATATTATCATTGTACAATATCAATAGTTTTGTACATTAAAATGAAGTTAACTTGTTTATTCTCTCTGCGATATAACTTTCCTTGTACCATTTGCATTTGCATTTGCATTCTTCACATTAAACTATAATAAAATATTCTGAAATAATTAATGGTATTTTCACTTCATTGCAGCTCAATTTCTTTTTGCACACCAGTTCCCTAATAAATATATGCATTTTTAAATAAAGTATTCGTGATTTCATAAATATTTCCATAATAATTAAAACAAATTTAAGCTAATTTTAATATTATACGATGTAAGTACATACTGTAATATTTTTAAAAGAGTCAAGGTAATTAAGAACTACAATTCGATTCAAAAACTGAACGTTGAATATTGATGGACCAATCGTGAATCGTTGTGTCTTCAACCACCAATCATACACCAATACGATATTACGTCACACAAAAATGGACGTTCTAATTGGATGAAGATTAACAATAATTTCTTTCCCATTCTACGATCAGTAGCAACAGCCAGCAACAGGCAACAGGTTCTAAGTAACAAAGAAACTTCACTGGCAGCAGCAGCCATTGTGCATTTGACGCGCGGGTCGCGACCACTTCATAAAGTGCTCAGCAATTCGTGATCTGTTCCATCTATTCCTCTAATATTTATTGATATATTCACGGTAAGCAAGCCTCTTTTAATTTGACAGTAACTTTAAAGAATATCTGACATTTAGTTTATATTACAAAGAGAAACATTGTGAAAAAGATTGCAAGTAACCGTTAGGAGGCGTTCGTTCAAAATAGCGTGATATTTAAACGTAATTTATCGCATGATACGTGTGCTTGTTAATACGGTTGTGAATACAATCATGCATACACGTGTAACCAATAATTATGTAGTAACCAATTTCAAATAAATTTCGTATATCCATATCAGTAATAAATTTCAAGGGAGAAAATGTGTAATGGATATCCTTAGGTGTTTGTAGAATAGACTCTCTTAGCCGGAACAAAAGTTTGTTCTCGTCATCGTTGATTATTTGTTTTCTTTTTGCTTAGGAAATACGTACGCGCAATTTCTTGAGAAAATGCCTGCACCAGAACTTGAAGGCCGTGACCGAAAGGCTAGCTTCAAATTTCATTCTAAGCATGAAGTAAGTTCATTAAAATTATAATCTAAAAAATTAATTACAATGAGGAAAATCAGAAAGATATATATTATTAATTTAACATGGATTTCAACGCAAATAAATGAATTTCATTATGTTATTATTTGTTATATAACTTGTTATTGTAGGATGCACGCAGAAGAAGGAACGAAATGTCGATAGAATTGCGAAAAGCTAGGAAAGATGATCAATTATTGAAACGTCGCAATGTCAATATAGGGCAAGAACCGCAAAGCCCGACCGGTGAAAGTAATCAGTCACCTATTTCTATATCAATAGATGAGATTGTTCTTGGTATGCAATCTACGGATGAAACAATTCAACTTCAAGCAACACAAGCATGCAGGAAAATGTTGAGCAGGGAAAAGAACCCACCTATAGATAGTATGATACAACGTGGAATTGTGCCACGCTGCATACAGTTCTTGGACTGTCATCATAAGTACGTACATGCCATAAGAAATTTATGTTATTATTATTATTACTTTAATTGAAAATTCATTTATTACATTCTTTAAATGTTTATAGCGCTCCGTTACAGTTTGAAGCAGCATGGGCACTAACCAATGTAGCTTCTGGAACATCAGATCAAACTCATATAGTTGTAAAACATGGTGCTATACCAAAATTGTCTGCGTTGCTAAAATCTACATCGCCTAATGTTGCCGAACAAGCAGTATGGGCACTTGGAAATATTGCTGGAGATGGTCCAATAGCTCGTGATCTTGTTCTTGGTCATGATGTTCTGCCTCGTTTATTAGAATTGATCAAACCTGACACTTCTGTATGTAAAATTTACAAATACCATTGAAAAAATAGAATTACATATTTTAACAGTAGTAATATAAATTGCTTATTGATATAGCTGACATTTACTCGTAATATTGTTTGGACACTATCAAATTTGTGTCGCAATAAAACTCCTCCACCTCCATTTGAAACGGTACAATCTTCATTGCCAGTCTTGAATCGCTTACTTAGTAGCCTTGATAAAGATATACTTGGTGAGTGAATTTTCTTATCAAAACATTTAACTTTGTATATTAATTATAAAAGTTTTTAACGTTATAATTCAATGTCATAGCCGATGCTTGCTGGGCTCTTTCATATCTCACCGATGGACCCAATAATAAGATACAAGTTGTTGTGGAGAGCGGAGTTATACCAAAACTAGTGGATTTACTTGCTTCAACTGAAGTAACAGTTCTGACACCAGCACTTCGTGCAGTTGGAAATATAGTTACAGGCACTGACATACAGACAGATGCGATAATATCAGCAGGTGGTTTACAACATTTGGGAGTATTATTACAACATCATCGTACTAATATAGTGAAAGAAGCAGCATGGGCGATCAGCAATATTACTGCTGGTAACATAGATCAAATCCAACATGTTATAAATGCTGGATTACTACCACCCTTGATACATGTTCTGCAAAATGTAAGTAAACTGTGCTTTTTCTTTATTTCCCTTTTCTTATGATGATGCTGATTATTGATGTTCCGGTTTATTGCAGGGAGATTTTAAATCTCAAAAAGAAGCAGCATGGGCTGTAACTAATTTAACTTCGGGTGGTACTGTGCAACAGTTAGCTCATCTGGTGCAGTTGGGAGTTCTGGTACCATTTTGCAATTTGTTGGAAGCCAAAGATTGGAAGACTGTAATTGTTGTTCTTGATGGTCTGAACAACATATTGAATGCAGCATTGAAAATGGGAGAAGCTGAACGTGTAGCTATTATGATAGAACAAATAGGTGGTTTGGACAAACTTGAGGCTCTTCAAAGTCACGATACAGAGCAGGTGTATCAGAAAGCTGCAGCGATGATCGATACTTTCTTCTCAGAAGAGGCAAGCAGATTTACAACTTTCTACAATTCAATTAATTAAACCAACATATTTATATAACAAATTAAACTTGTATCCCTAGGACGCTGAAAACGAAACATCAATAGCACCACCCACAACAGATGATGGAAAGTTGGAATTCAAACCAACTGAAGCAACACAAAAAGGTTTCGAATTTTAGAACTTTTTAGTCATTTGACATTTAACATGTTAGAGTGTGTTCTTCCAGTTTGTTTTGTAAATAGATATACAGATGTTCATCCCGAAAGATAAACATTAAAGACAAAACATTTTGTCTTCATATTTCTTTACTGATATTTTGTGTGCTCCATGACAATAGTAAGTTTCATTTAATGTTCCTTTTTATAGAAAGCTTTAAAATTGCCAATCGATTATTATTCTTTTTTTTTCATTCTTAGAGTATTAGTCTAACAGCATTGTTTTAATATAAATCATAAGCTTTGTGATCTTTGTAACAGTCATTTTCCAAGTAATTTTACTGTTTTGCATTTTTCTTCGAATCAGTAACACAGAAACGATTATTTTCGAATTTAAATATCGTTGAATGTCATTTATTAATTGTTATCATGTTCTNTTAATATAAATCATAAGCTTTGTGATCTTTGTAACAGTCATTTTCCAAGTAATTTTACTGTTTTGCATTTTTCTTCGAATCAGTAACACAGAAACGATTATTTTCGAATTTAAATATCGTTGAATGTCATTTATTAATTGTTATCATGTTCT